TGTCGAGCTAATGAAGAATTCCCTTCATTTTTTTCATTCCATTGCATTATACATCAACAAGTTTTGTGTTCAAAAGTTTTAAACACGGAGGAAATTATGGGCATTGCAACAAAAATTGTGAATTCCATCCGTGCACGTAGCTTGCAACGGCGGCTCTTTCAGTTGCAGTTGGAAGATAGGGAGTCAGCTGAACACACTGATTTAGTTCTTCACACGGACGTCAGGTGGTTGAGTCGCGGAAAATTCCTAGAAAGGTTTCAAGAATTATTGCCCGAAATAACAGCTTTTCTAGACGAAAGAGGTGATGACACTCAGATTTTGAAAAACGAAAAATGGCTAAATGATTTGGCATTTTTGACTGACATCACAATGCACTTAAACACCGTTAACTTGGAGCTTCAAGGTAAAGGAAAAACTATTATTGAGATGATTAGCGCAGTAAACGCATTCAAAAGTAAATTGCAACTTATGATAGATCAACTGAAAAGAAAGGATCTGAAACATTTTCCGTCTTTGAAAGCAAGGATTCCTCAGTTGAATTATGATACGTATGAGGCTGAATTATCAAATATTTTGGGACAATTCGAAATGCGTTTTTATGATTGCAGTAAATTGGAAAATATAGCATCATTTATGAGTTATCCTTTTTCATGTAAAAACATTGAGGAATTAGCTACTGAAATAGCAAGTCAGTTTAATATGAACTCATGTTCTGTTGAAAATGAGTTGGTGCAGATTATATCAGATATACATCTCAAAGCTACAGTATCTGATACAAATTTCTGGCGTTTTATATCTGAAGATAAATATCCGAATGTAAGGCAAATCGCCCTTCAACTGACGGCATTTTTTGGGTCAACTTACTTGTGCGAGTCTGCATTTTCTGAAATGAAGATAATTAAGTCAAAATATCGCAATCGACTAACTGACGATCATATGACATCATGCTTGCGATTAGCACTCAGTGGTTACGTACCATCTTATGAAAAGTATGCTGAGGACATGCAGTGCCACGCTTCAACATCCAAAGCCACTCCTTAGTTAAGTTTAACACCATATGTAACTCTTTTGTTTTGTAACAACAAATAAACTCGCAATTTTGAATAACTATGAGTTTTTTCATTGATATTGTAGAGAAGAACCTAACTAAACCTAACCCAAACCTTGACTAAAATAATGTACCTATATTGTGCAGAAAGCTAATATCTATATATGCTACGGTACGCCCTACCTAGGTAGGTAGGGTGTATCGTGTATGTACGACAACCCTGCATCACACACACTTGCAGTCTCTCAGAGTCGATCGTAAGTAGTCTAAAAATATTGAGGTAGATCGCCAGCAGTTCAAGTTTGAGCACCCCTGCAGTAGATGGTACAATAATATCCTGGAAGGTGTCAATAATTTTTTTAATGCAACTTTATCTTCTTCTGTGTTATCAGTTTTAGGTAAAACAACTCGAAATTAAATATATTCATAACTTTCAGTAAAAGTCGTTCTTCTAAATCAGTTAAGATATTGTCTAAAAGGGGTAAATAAATAGATCGGAAATATTCTTCGCAAGAGTTAGCAAGTTGGTTTTGTCGACAGGTTTGTTTGTTCAGCTATTTCCTTTACTTCATTGTACAGTTTGCCAAAAACAGATTCAGTATTGATCTTTTATTTTGAAGAATGCATTTAGTGTCCTCTATGGCCTCAGTAGCCTTCTTTAAATCCAATTTTGGAGACTGAAGAAGACGACTAAGTGATGCAGTTGTACTTAAAACATCAATAAGACAAACTATTGAAATGAGAAATTCTGGGCTCCTAATAGTTTGCATTAATGAAAATGCATCAGCTGACATTTTACTGTCCTGCCACGTAGAAATTGTTTCAAAGGCGTTGTATATTTTGATGATTGATTCGCCCTGGAAATGAAGATGACCTTCATGCCTTTCATCCCAACGAGCTGCTTGGACAGCAGCTCGGACTGGAAATAGCTCGGAAATAGCTTGGACTGCTGATTTCGTGCGGAAAAGTCATGTCATGTAAATTGAATGAGCAATAATGTGTGGGCGATAGATTAATGTAAAAGGGCTTCCGCATAATTCTACGCTTACCCCTAGCATAAATGAGTTTGAATCATTTTAACTCTTGACTTCCTGGTTATAGGGTTGATGGGTTTTAAATTATTTTTTTTAGGATTATTTGATTAATGTTTAATTTTGTTTGGGAGCGGTTGTGACCCCCGTGACCCCCTTGTATCCGCTACTGAGATTACCCTCAATTATACAATATTTTAAGTTTGCTCCTTTAACTTCATGAAGTAGAAAGTATTCAGTGTAGAAAGAATTCGTGAAGTAGAAAGAACTTCTTTGGCATATAAACAATTATTATCAGATAGACGACACAGTTTTTCTTTAGAAAATTTAGAGAAACATTTAATAATATAGTGTATAACTGTAATAATAGTATAATAGTATAACAAGGGTGATGATGAATCAAAGAATAAATGAATATAATGATATAGATAATACAAATTGCAATAAATATGTTGTGTGACTTTAGCATAAAATAAATTAAATACCTTCAATACAAGTAGTATTACTGCGTTTTTTATTTATATGCATTAAATGCATAAAAAGCATATTTTAGTGCATATTTCAACTGTTTTGTGCATATTTGCATGCATATTTTAGGGTTTGTTAAGTGCATATTCCGAGCTCTAGTTATAACTATTGAGAGAGATTAGAACCGGGTTATTTGTATCAAATATTCCTTAATTAAATGTTGCTACGAAAAAAAAAATAAATTGGTTTAATTTTTTTTTTCGTGGTTTGCTAATAATTTTACTATAATTACTATTTAACTGGGAATAAGCCACAATTAAAAATGAAAATACGTTTATTGACGTTTCAATAACATTTACCATGGAAAAGGAATATAATAACACGCTACCTTTCCTGGATGTTTTAATCTCTAAGAACGATACTGGATATGAGACTCAGGTGTATAGAAAACCAACACACACCAATAGATATTTAAATTTCAAATCAAATCACAATATTAATGTAAAAAAGGGAATAATTAAATCCTTATACGATAGAGCCAAAATTACTTGTTCTAACGAAAATTCGTTCTTGGAGGAGAAACATTTGTTAACATCTGTTTTATTAAAAAATGATTATCCTTTATCGTTTATAAATAAGGAATTTTCAACAATCGATCGAATAGAACAGAACAACTTAGAACGAGATCCTACAGCATACACAAGGAATAATATGAGGAAAATAACAATACCGTACATAAAAGGATTATCAGAAAAACTTAAAAGGATAGGAAATAAATTCAACATTTCAACAACATTCAAAACAACAAACACGTTGAGATCTATTTTGTCCAAAACCAAACCTAACAATGAACAAGAAAGGACAAAGAATTGCATTTATAAAATACCTTGTGAATGCGATCAGTTTTATTTAGGTGAATCATCAAGGCCATTAAATGTTAGAATAAGTGAACATCAATCTTATATTAAAAATAGAGAATTTGATAGATCTCAAATATGTAAACACGCATGGGATAATGAACATAGGGTTCAATGGAATAATTCAAATGTAGTCCTAAAAGAAACGGATGGTAAAAAAAAGAAAAATCAAAGAAGCGGCTCTAATTATGCTAAATGAGGCCAATTGTGTCGCAAATTCCTCTGCAGAATGTAGTAGGATCTGGTTACCAATATTGAAAGAGGAAGTTATTAATAAGAAAATACCAGTATTAGTAAGTCAGTAACATATAGAGGATACATCATTTATGTTTTTTAAATAACGTAACATATAAAATCAGAATTTTGATGTTTGTTGAAGGTAAACTAAATTCACGAACAAATACTTACAATGTCGGGATAGTATTATGAGGTTTTTTCCTGGTTTTTTCCCTCATAATTTACTATGAATCACTAACAGGAGAATTTACTGACATCATGTCATGTGTTTGTCTTTAAGACGAATTACATGCTATGATTTTTTTCTGACGGATATTCTCAAGTTAAAGTTGATTTCATGTAATCGAATGAACTATCTTATAAGTAAAGTCGTCCCAGGAGCGCAACTCAACAATATTGGCAATATCATTTTAAAGTCGTCTACTTTAAAATGCATAATGTATGTCTGAATTGTCAATATAAATGAGTCAGATAAAATTAAATTATTAGAAGAATTTTTCACTATGTAACAAAAAACAAAATTTGTTTAATTTACTGTTTGTATTTTGAGAACGATTTTCCGAAGTGGAAATTGAAAACGTCAATAAACGTATTTTTATCTTTAATTGTGGCTTATTCCCAGTTAAATAGTAATTAATTTACAATGCCACAAGAAAATAGCTTCAGAACAATAATTTTACTATATATTTATAAATGATTAACAATTGATACAAAAGCAAAAGTTTTGACAAGGAATATTATTTTATTTATTATTTGACATTTTGTGACAGATACGCATGATACATGAATGTAACGTGATGATGAAATTGAGTCGAAACTTTTTAGTTATTTCGATTTAAAAGTATCAAATAAACATTGTTTTGTCGTAATATTGGTACTCTTTCTTTAACACGATGTGATTTAACACTGAATTTCAAAAGTGTGATTTCGACTGTCTTATAATTGTTATTGGTAAATGTCATTTCTTGTGAAAGACTTATAATAGCCGTTTTTTTTTGCACAGTTTTATGCAATTTTACTTTTTGACAAATTAAAAAAATCTTAGAATACTAAACAATTTGATTGGATGTCATTTTTAAGAGAGTAACTAGTAATGCGTCTTAAAATATTAATGTTTCTTAAATTTTCATTTCCAAATAGGTCTAAAAAAATAATATTGGAATATATTTCTTATTACATTATTAATAATAGAAAAAACCAAATAGTTTGATAGTAAAACGTGGTATATTCATCCTAAATTTAGTAACTACTTGAAGCAGAACAGAATTCATTCAATTGTTGCACTATTTTGCATCTTACCTGACATTTCCTCCGATTTTTTCAAACACGCACGTCGCACACACTAATCTCACACTCTCCTCAATGCGTACTGAGGGAACCACAACTTTCCGCTGCTTACAAGCCGCACACACGGTACTCGCTTCTATTTTATAATTTAGCCATTTTTTCGTGATTAATATTCACCGAGAGTACCTAAACGACGACGCTCGGTTCACACACAATTTCAATCTCATTTCGTGACGGGATGGGTGTACTGAGAGAGAACTAGGATCGTCCGGGTTTTAAAGTTCCGCCGGTTCTTGTCGACTTACTATAGCGGCACAGGCAAGTAGTTGAGGATATGCGAGTGCTGCTATATATACAGGTGCGTATCTGATAAATCTCAACCTATTAAAAATAATATTGGATTATTATTTAAAGTTGTAATATTATTATCTTTAAGATAAGAAATAAATTGGAATTTTATATGCTGTTGCTAAAAGGTAATGAAAATTCGATACTACTGGAAGATTTCGAACGTGGCCGTTAGCGAGGGCGACTTACCACGAGTACCATGAATCAATCTGAAATTTTAACCACATTTTTAATACTATAAGATTAAACTTTTCACACAATATCAAGATTTTAAGTTCATCTTATATACCAATATTAAAGTGGATGATCAATTGACATAGGCAGTCTCCATAGATAGAGGTGTGAGGCAAGGATGCATTCTGTTCCCGTGTGTTATTTAAAATATACTCTGAATATATCTTCCGAGCAAGCGCTGGAGAGACTACAAGAAGGCGTATTAGTTAACGGGATTGCGTCTAATCAACATTAGATATGCCGAAGACGCAGTAGTTTTTGGAGATAGTCTGGACGGTTTTGCAAAGAATAATTGTCGCTTATATCACATAAAGAGTAGAGAACACGGACTTGATCTTAATTACGAAGAAAACACAGTACATTGGTAGTGCAGTAAGCGCGAAATATTAAATACCACGCTTATGGTTAATCAACATCCAATTGACAGAGTGGACAGCTCTACACATACCTTAGGTACCAACATATAACAGCCAATGGGATCACTTCTTCTTCGGGTTCCTTCTCCTAGCGGAGGTTGGAAATCAAATTTCCAAATCGCTATTTTAACTTTGTTGGCCGCATTTCTGAATAATTCTAATGAGCTGCAGCCGAAACCACTCTTCTCAAACTTTCTTAGCCAGGACATTTTGCGTCGTCCTAGGGTTCTCTTCCCTTGTATCTTCCCTTGCATAATTCCAACCTCAGTAATACGTACTTTCTCACCCCTCATTTAAATGTCCCAGATATTGAATCTATTCTAATTTTAACAGTTTTTATGATCTTCACATTCTTTATTTCATTCTTTGTAACACCCTCTATATTAGTTACTTTTTCAATCCACGATTATTTTATGCATTCTCCGTGTGAGCACCACATCTCAAATTGGATCACTCCCAGTGAAATAAAACAACGCATAGGAAAAGCGAGATCAGCGTTTCATAATGATAAAGTATCTTTTCAGAAGTCATGATTTACCATTTGTTACCAAAATCTCTCTCATTAGATGCTATGTATTTTCTACCTTATTATACGGAGTAAGGCCTGGGACACTTTCCGAAGCTTCCTTAAGAAAACTCGAGGCATTTCGAGATGTGGTTGTTACAGACGTATCTTAGGAATTTTATGGGTGGAATCGTGGTGGACTAATGTTGAGGTCCTACGTAGAATAGGCAAGGAATTGCGAGATTATTAACACCATCAAAGAGCGCAAAACTAGAATGTTCTTGGCCATGTTATGAGAAATGAACAGAGATACGGCTTTGTTGCAATCTCATTCTTTAGGGCAAGGTATTTGGAAGAGAGTGGAGGCCAGGCGAAGAAGAATATTCTTGGTTCAAAACCTGAGAGAACAGTGATGTAAATACATCGACAACCGGGACTATTCAGAATAACAGCAAGCACAAGTTTAGGATAGCCATGTTGATCGCCAACATCCGACGGATAGCACCCGTAAGAAGAAGAAGAAGTTCATCTTTATAATATGGTATTAAGAATTATTGAAACTTAAAAATGCTTAAATAAACGAGGAAAAAAATTCCTGTAAGCTGGCTGTTATACCACGTATCACAAAAAAGAATTTATATCTTGTATGTGGGGTATATTTAAAAAAAAACCCTTAAAAGGGCTACATTGAATAATACAAACAAACGTTTTTCGGAATAACAACTTCCATCATCAGGTTTAAAAAGTACAAGGTTCACATGCCTGAGCCTGCAAAATATGAGGGTAAAAACCCTTTAAAATTTGTGTTGTTACAAAAGATTGTACATAATGTTATTAAAATATGTGATGTTTAAATTAAATTGGCTTCAGGTAACATATACCCATGGTTTGAGTTCCAGTGTCCGGAGAGTAAACCTCTTCAAACGGACTACAGTTACCAGCTGTAACCTTGTTACTTTTTAAACCTGATGATGTGATATTGTTATTCGAAAACGTTTGTTTGTATTATTCAATGTAGCCCTTTTAAGGGTTTTTTAAATATACACATACAAGATATAAATTCTTTCTTTTTTTTTTTAAATTCTTAGTTCCAATCTCACCAAATTGGAGCTCCTCATTTTGAAGCATCGTAGAAGACTCTTTTCTTAAACAATATTTTTCAAACCTTGTAGATTAAAATTTCAAATAAGCAAGCACCTTTGATGAACTGGTTTCTTGTATTCATAAAGAGTAAATAGAGATAAAGAAAAGACAGTTAAGATTTGATTCAGACATAGTGCCTGTGTATATTCGCTGAAACGTATTTCATCCTAACAGGATAATTAGGACTGGTCCAGACGCTGTAAAACGGAAATCAAATTATTTATCGTCTATTAACGTGTTACTATACAGAGTGGCCCAAAAGTCTGGAAACGGTCAATTATCTCGTAAATTGCTAGTTATAATTGTACAAAATTTGAGGTACACCTATTTTGGGATACGGAGATTCCATATTTGATATTTGCAATGTTGCCAGATTTTCCGTTTCTCTTATATTATTAGTAACTTTGGTTTTTTAAATACATCACCCTGTATATTTAGTCATTATTGGAATCTCCTATTCAATACGAGTTCAACCATATGTAACACTTATGATTTTATGTAGTCTGAAAGGTCTTAAATACATAAAACACAAGTCTGGCAACGCCTAATTGTTTCAATAAATTTTTTAATACTAATTATTTTCAACTACATTAAAACGTAACAATTGATAGATTAGAACATTTTTTAACAATAGTTACGTTATTAAGTGTTCAAAATGTGCTCAATTTATGAGTTGACAGTACCCTAATCGATGGTAGAATGCGTCTATCACATTTCTCCATGATGGTCTAGAAACAATTCGAGATTCATCGATAATTCGTTGCCTTAGCTCTGCAAGACTTGCTGGTTAAGTTTTGTAAACTGAATTTTTCAAGTATCCTAATAAAAATAATCTTTATGATTGAAATCGGGTGAACGTGAAGGCCATTCAATTCTACCTTGTCTACCAATTTATCGTCCGGGAAATATCTCATCTAAATAACGCCGAACATTTACACCAACTATCTGACGTTAAATTTTCTTCGATAAAAAATGACCCAATTGACTGAGTACCTACTATACCTGACGATACATTTAATTTTTGTGGTCTTTGAGTATGGTTTTCACGCATTCAGTGTGAATTTGCGTCACTCCAGTACCTTAAATTGTGTCGATTTACACTTCCACACAGTGTAAAGATTGCTTCATCGGAAAACATATTCTGTTAACGAAATTTTAATAATTTTCAATTTTATCCATCATTACCTCAGTAAACTCTAATCTAAGATCGAAGTCATCTTCACTTAATTCTTGCAATAAGTTTATTTTGTATGGTTTAAACTTATTTTTACGTAATATACGTAAGACTGAAGAACGACCTACATCATGTACTTGTGCAACCCTGCCTGAGGATGTATGTGGATCTTCAACAAAACTTTTCTCTTTCCATCTATCTTTACCTTCTTCAGATTTCTCAATCGCTTTACAGTTTTTTGTACCGTCGCCTTATGAATAGGAGAACGGTTTAGAGAACGGCATTTTAGAGAAGCAATTTAAATTGCAGAACTTTTCGAAACACAACTACTGTCAGTTTTAGTTTATAATGTAAATCGTGAACAAATGTCAATATCACAGCATTCTACATTTAAATATTTAAATTTATTAAAATCTACATATTTTGCACTGTTTTATGTATTTAAGACCTTCCAGACTACATACAATCATAAGTGTTACATATTTTTGAACTCGTATTGAATAGTTGAACTCGTATGAAATTCACACTGAATGCGTGAAAACCATACCAGACCACAAAAATTAAATGTATGATCAGGTATAGTAGGTACTTAGTCAATTGGGTCATTTTTTATCGAAGGAAATTTAACGTCAGATAGTTGGTGTAAATGTTCGGCGTTATTTAGATGAGATATTTTCCGTACGATAAATTGGTAGACAAGGTAGAATTGAATGGCCTCCACGTTCACCCGATTTCAATCCTAAAGATTATTTTTATTAGGGATACTTGAAAAATTCAGTTTACAAAACTTAACCAGCCAAGTCTTGCAGAGCAAAGGCAACGAATTATCGATTAATCTCAAATAATTTCTAGACAATCATGGAGAAATGTGGTAGACGCATTCTACCATCGATTAGGGTACTGTCAACTCACAAATTGAGCACATTTTGAACACTTAATAACGTAACTATTGTTAAAAAATGGTCTAATCTATCAATTGTTACGTTTTAATGTAGTTGAAAATAATTAGTATCAAAAAATTTATTGAAACAATTAGGCGTTGGCAGACTTCTGTTTTATGTATTTAAGACCTTCCAGACTATAAAAAATCATAAGTGTTACATATAGTTGAACTCGTATTGAATAGAAGATTCTAATAATGACTGAATATACAGGGTGATGCATTTGAAAAACCAAAGTTACTAATAATATCAGAGAAACGGCAAATCTGGCAACATTGCAAATATCAAATATGGAATCTCCGTATCCCAAAATAGGTGTACCTCAAATTTTGTACAATTATAACTAGCAATTTACGAGATAATTGGCCGTTTCCAGACTTTTGGACCACTCTGTATACATAACTATTCAATATAAATATATAATTACATACCCAAATACATAAGTTGTTTTCTTCTAATAAGGAGGCTTCATCATCATTCATCATGTTTCTTCATTTCTTACAGAAATAATAATTGGTTCTATTGTTTCCTCTATTAGCATATCGAGTTTCCAGAATCTTTTTCCTCTGCTTATAGCTTTTTGCAAATTGTCAGATGAATTTTTGATA